TCACTAACTCAGCACTCAGTGTCCCTGCCAAGTGCAGGGGACTGCTCACACTCATCATCCAGGATGAACTCAGGGCCTGCAGAAGATGAGTCAGAACAGAGGGAGATCAAGCTCAGGGCAAATCTGATGGTATAACCAGGTCATTCCAGATCATGCCTCTTCAGGACACTGTCTAGAGACACTGTCAGGAGTCAGTTTAGTTCCTACACGGCCACGCTCATATTTACCATTCAGGAGCATCACTAAAAATTACTTTGAGACCACCAGGTCATAGCACATTTCAAAACAGAAAGGTTTTCTACATCTCCTCACCAGGAATCTCAACCAAGTAATCCCTGGCCAGTAGTGATGGGAGACTGAGATCCAGTCTAGAGGAGGTATTCCAGCTCAGGATTGGGTCAGCTGGATTGGGTCAGAGGGGGAGAATGCTACCACAGCTGTCTCTGCTCCCTGCTTTCTCTCCATGGGCTGCTCCCTCTCACATTCCACACTTTCACATTCCTGCATTACTCTTTCAGCCCCTCATTCCAGGAGCTCACTTTGCATCTGGCTCATTCTCTAAGAAGTTGAGTGGTTTCCTGACAGCCCCCAGAGTGGATGTGAAAGCCAGGCAGACAGCCCAGCTGCACTTCACACCCATGAGGACTGAGTTCTTACCTTGGGGCAAGAAGTGCCTTAACCAGGAGGAACTGCTTCTCTTCAGTACAATGCCTACCTGATGGGAGCTGATGATGCTTCCCTCTGTGTGCTCCCTTGGTTGCTTGCAGTGAGGTGACAACTTGAGATGCTTTACACTACTTGGGATCTTTCCTTTTTTTTTCTCTAAGCAAGGAGACATTGAAACCATAGCATCTACTTTTATGGCAGTAACAGGCCAAGCAACAGCTGAGTCCCAAAGACAAGCACGGTGAAGGGGGGACAAATTGCATGAGTCAGACTAAAAGCTTCATAAATATTGATTGGTTTAACAGTCCCCTAAGGAACAGAGAATTTCATTGTATAACTACATCTCCCTCCCTATTATGCTCTCCCTCCTCTCAGGGAGCTGCGAGGGGGGTTGCTCTCCTGGCTTATGTGCACATTATTTTAAATCCTTTCTGTGCAGCCAAGCTGCTCTGTCAGGGACTTTGCACCACACGTCAGCAGAGTATCTGAGCACCTTCCGGTGGTACTTTAAATAACAGGACTGGAGTGAGTTTTCTTCTCTCAGGTTTGTCTGAGGGTAGAAGTGACGCAGGCAGAGGAGAAATCAGATATTTAATATGTAAGGAATTAAAGCTGAAGAGGACAGGATGGTTTTCAGTACATTCTAGTCTGCTTTCTACCAGGTGAAGCCCAGCTAGAGCCACAGAGGAGCAGAGACACAATAAGAACACAGACAGAAGAGACAAATGGTGTGAGGTCTACAGTGGTGATACAGGCAAGAAAGACAGACGCTATGGAAGAGAGAGGAGACTTGGCTACAGAAGATGGAAAACTGTTTGACATATGAATAGTCAGAGGTGATAGATGCATGTGGTGTGATGGGGGATATACTGCAAGTCACTGCCCATGATGGGGAGCAAGATGGGTCCTGCCTTTCTGACATTGCATATGAAGCTCACTTCAGTCCTGCTGTGAGGGCAGCTCCCCTTTATTTCCTGCTAAAAGCCAAACAACTTCTGACTGCTTTGCTGGGGGCTGTCAAACCCCACCCTGCCTTTCCCTCTACAAGGCATGTCCCCTCCTCATTTCTAAATTTGTCATTCCTCACCCTCATGTTATTCTTAGAAACACTTCAGGCAAGAAAACAGCGATACATGAGTCTCCTCATATGTACTGCACAGTATAAAAATTTTGTCTCCACCAGCTGAAACTACCTGGTTGCAGCCAAGTCCCATCCTTGGTGCAGAGATTGCAGGATCATTTATATTCCCTTTCTCCCAACCTTAAGTAAAGCGTTTTCCCTGACAGGTCCTCCCACAGCAAATTGTTTGCTTTAAAACCAAGGAAACTATGGTTAAGTGGAGACTGTAATGCCCCAGCAAAGCCCATGGATGCTGTTGAGGCTCACCTGAAATACATGATACATGTGATGCTTTCATGTGTTCTCAGGAAGTTCTGGAAAAGAAAAAAAATATCCTCCCTCTTTCCAAACCCCAAATGTACAGCATACGAAGTGGTCTGGAAACCTGCCACTCCAAGCTGGCTCGGGAAAGCAGCCCTTTCATGTTCTCCTGCTTTCAAGCAGCTCAACACTGCCTCCTACATCTTACAAGTCACACAAAACCTATACCAAATTTCCCTTGTTTGAGGCTCACTCTGAAACGGTAAATATTACTGCTTGGGGGTTAAACTAAGGTTAGGTTATTCGGGGATTGCATCTCTTCTAGAGGCAGTCTTAGCTTCCTTAGAGTCAACAGCAAGGCACAAAGTGACTTCAGAGAAATGGGTATTTTATATAACATAACTGAAAGACTTCACTGCTCCAAGAGCTACTAGCCTGCCTGGCAGAGGAGTCTATCCACAGAAGGAAGCTGAACATTTTGACGGAGGTGATGTCTGAGAGCAGCAAAGGCCAGCCACAGGGAACCAAGTGCAGTGATGCTGCCATAGGACAGGGACCTATCCCAAGGGATGCAAGCAGGGCAGGCACAGAGAGAGCAGCCAGGTTCAGTCAGGTGTCTCAATGACCAGTGAGGTCCACATTGATGCAGCAGATCCAGGGTCAAGCTGGAAGTCAATTCACTAGACAGGATCAGGCCTGATGATAGCAGCCAGGGTCAGACACAGCCCAGTGAACACCAGACAGGTCCACACTGATTTAAAATGCCTGAGGTCAAGTAAGGAATCCAACCCCCAGGTCTGGATCTAGATCAGCAGTGGCCATGGGCAGGCAAAGGCAAAGACATAGCCAAGCTGCAAACCAGCATCTCACCAACACCACTTGGGCAGAAACAGAGGTGGTCCAGAGCTGAGCTTAAATGGGGCTTCTCAGCGTGTGGGCAGATAGGGTGGCTGGAGGCCCCAGCTGGGGCTGTTCAGGACTGTTAACACCCTCAGGGCCCTGACACCTGCACTCATCTTTCTCATACTCAGAGCTGGTGCAGCTGAGTTCAGTGGCATCTCAGCTGCTTAGGCCAAGTATTCTCCATTCCTGCCTTCTGAATTGATTGGTTTTGTCCATGCTTGTAAATTTTCCAGTTTGATTGTATTTGATTACCTGAAGTCTGCATAGCTTTCTGGATAAAGAAACTTCTCCATGAAGAGACAGACCAGGACCGTGGGAGGTAGAGATGAATCCCCATCTTCGCATTCTCACTATCTCTGAGCTCTAGACACAAGTGCTTAGTGGATGATGTAGAAGACATTATCACTGAGTGAATATGGAGGGACAATATGGAGACTATGTTGCTTTTCTATTAAGAATAAAATATGTGAGAACAATAAAATTCAATAGTATTTCCAGCACCCAGACAGATGGGCTAAAAGCAAAGGAATTTTCCAGGTGGGAGTCTTACAGAAGCCAAACAGTCCAAATCAACCATCTCATAATTGCAACATATGCAAAAAGTCCACTAGCATCTGGCAGTGGCTGTCAGGCCTCTGTCCATCTATCCAGACATTCACATTCTTTGTGAAGCAGGAAAGGGGAGTACTTCAGCTGGTTGATCACTGGTTCATAGGACTGAGAGAAAAGACAAGTTTGGTTTCTTTGTACATGTTGGATCTGCGGGAAAAATATCCTCAGTAGAGAAGTATTCCTTAATGGAAGCATCACATTCATTTTCATAGTTACTTTTTGCAAAAAAAAAATCTAAGCCACCCTCATTTTTTTAGTAAAAAGCAAATATTAACAGGAGTATTAAAAGGCTAGTCATTCTACAGCTATCCAAGATGTACAGCAAGTGGTCGGGAGAGCTGGGGAGCAGAAGACAAAAGCCCAAACATGGAAATAATATGGTCTTTTAGTTAAGATGAAGTGCAGGTACAATCAGATGAAGCTATGCTGGGTAATCTAGCATGATGTGGTGTCAAAAAAGCACCCGAGGTGAGTCACCAGGAGTGTATGTACAAGTCAGAGCTTGGCCAAAGAGTAGTACAGATGATTAAGTTCTGCAGAAGAAGCAGAAGTGAAGAACAAAGTTTAGCACTGTTCCTATTATAACATTTTACTTGCTAAGGTTGTAATAGAAAAAATAGCAGACTAGTAGCAGGACCCTGATCAATAGTGATGGACAGGCAACAAATAGAAGCCAAACCAAGATGTAGTCACAACCTGAGAAGACATGGAATATGTGTGATGTGCCTCAATACTTTGCTCCAAATGAATAAAAGATGGATGTGCAGCCAGAACCAGCATCTGACCTTCCACTTTTTTTTTTTCCTCAAGGAAAAACTGAAGACAGTTGCCCATCCTTGATGCATTCCATATCTGCTGCCAAATCTGCACTCCCCCACTCAGACACAATCCCAAAATAGGGTGTGATGCCTTTCTCTTTGACAAAGCCGTAAGTCACGGTGAGCAAGACACACTCAACATCCTCCAATCAGTTAAATGAAAAGAACTCTCCCCCTCTGTTTTCTACCATTTCAGCATTCATTATATCTCACATTAATTAATATAGGTACTAGCAAGTGAGATGATAAATTACCAAAACCCATTAACCTGATTCTGTCCAAATTGGTGACGTACGGCAACTTGTACGTTAGACAAATCTTCCTTGCTAATGTGGGAGTCTTCATGTCTGAACTCCACTAAAGCAGCACCCCCGAAAAAATATTTTTAATGTATGTACGTACGGAATGTATATCGACGTGCGTGGACAGTGCGTGCCGCTGGGAACATCAGAATTCATTAAATCAGTCTGATATGAGATATATTGAACAGGTTCCATCTGACGTCTGTTACTGGGTTATTCTGTCCACTCCCAAAGGAGTGAATCATATTGACAGGTTGAATTATATCTCAAGAGACATTTTTCTCCCCTCCTCCAAAGGCCATTTGCAATCACGGCACATCCACTGCCTCTTAAAAGTGAGCTCATCTGGCACTGGGTTGCATTGAAGTCCTCCACCGTGCCTGAAGGAAGAATGCTTTTGGGTGGTGGGAACGTGGAGAAGATGTGGTCTGTCCAGCTGTCCCTGGGAGTGCTAACCATCTTGACCATGACTGTGTATGTCCCATCTACACATGGAGAGCCTTTTTTACTACAAGGTAAGCTGGAATACAGACTAAATGACGCAGGTAGGTAGTTATCTTTTTGCTTTGCTTTGTTCCTTGTCATGGCCATACAACGCTCGCTTAGCCGCGGAAGAAAATGAAATAAACCTTGAGCTATACTAAGAGATCAATTAACATGGGTGCTACTCAGAGACTTGTTCATATTAGCACGAGCTAAAGCTGTCCTTCTGGTCTGCAGCTGGTGGTATGACACATTCTGCTCATCCGTAAAATATCAGGTCTGGTGAAATCTGGTAAGGGTAGCTCTTTTTCTCCCAAAAGAAGATTTCCAAGGAAAAACATTAAAATATCAGAGAGTAGCAGTTCCAGTATGCACCATATGAGATTTGACAGCTCATAAATGTCAGTAGTAGGGTGCTGCCGAACTTTTTTTATTCACAAAACTTCTTTATATATTCTTCTCCCATAATTTAAAATAATCTTACCTTGAACTTAAGCTGCAGGGAAATGTCAGTCATTAATTTTCTTTCTTAAAGAGACTTGACAGTAGAAAAAAAAAAAGAGAGCTAAATATAGGCTTGAAAATAACATCGTTTTTCACGTTATTTTTCCTCTTATATCACCTATTTTTGTAATGACAACCAAAACATTCCTGAGGCCACTCTATCTAAATACTGCTTCTGTTGAATTTTTACTAGAGTGTTTATAGTTTGGTTTTTTCTGTAGCAAATCCCCCTACTAAAAGTAGCTATTTTAAAACCATAACTGTCTTTCAGACTTAGGAACGAGGTTCATAGCACTCCACGCTAACTGCAAGTTTTACACAGCGTTGTAGCTCTGCTAACTCCCTCGGGTTTATTTCTAGAGATCACAATCAGAACCCGCGGCTTTAGCCGCAGCGTGAGGCAGGGTTGAGTCTGGCCAAATACTTGGAGCATCACTGTGGCCAGGGCCCCTCTGCTTCTGCAGATTGATGTGAATTTGGCTAATGGAGCTGATTCCCACAGACTCTTGAGCATCCTTGAGGTTAATCTGCTACAGTGTTTTGTCTCATGTGTATCAAAAATAACGGCGTTCATCTCATCACAGTTATGTAGGGCTGATGGCTATACAAGACTATTTTCTCCTTTCTTACCTTCTTGTAGGGAGTGATCAGAAGTCCTAAAACTGCTTGAAAAAATTGAAAATAAGCCTTTCTGCATAATTTCTTTGCATTTTCTATGGACTCTGTAGGCATCTTCCAGGGCTTTTCAGGGTCTGGGTGTTGGGGTGGGGGTGTTCAGACCAAAGGGAATGGCCATTCTCCCTGTAAAGTCTGGCTCCCATTCTGCCAGTCTGAACAATAAAAGCAACATTCAAGGTTCAGATCATTCTGGAAATCTGTTTAGCAGAGCTGGGAGGGTCTCAGAGTCTTCAGGGCTCTGATCAGTCCCATCCCCTGTGTCTGTTGGTTTCTGCCGAACCCTTGACCTTCACAACCATTCATTTGAGGGCATAGCCACAACCACTAAAGCAAAACCACTGAGGAAGTTCCCTAAAGGGGCCTCATAGAGATGCCCAAACTGCTTTGGGACAGCAGCACAGGGAGGTTTTTCCTGGTAAACAGAAGAATTCTGCATGGGCTACAGCTACTGTAAGTGGCTTCCTCGGGAATAAAGAGGCTCGCTTTAAATTTCTCCACACTTCGGCTCTGTTCATGAAGAACCCTTTAGTGTCACTGGCAATCGGAGCAGCCCTAGGGCTGAGTGAGCACAAAATGAGACTGCAGGGCTGCAGGGCTTTTCACCTCTGGTACCCACACCTCAGCCCTCATGAGGAGCAAGTTCCCACCTTTTTCAGCTCTGGGAAGATGGATGGGGTGAGGGGAGAGCACCTGCAGTTTTGAGAAGAGAGGATCATGTGGCTTTGCAGAGGCATCCGGTACATCTGCCTTGCAGAAGAGGTTGGGACTGTCTAAATCAAGGTGACGTCTGCGACTCTCTGCAGCCAGCCATGCTGATGAGGCTGCAGAGAGACTGGCCAGCAGCCCGGAGCTGGCAGGGAGGGCTCCCTCATCCCACACCCTTTCACTGCGCAGCCCTCACTGCCTGGACATTTTTTCCTGTGCTTACACATCTTCCTCTTCCTCCCAGCTCTTTCCACTTGGGCAAAGTGCTGACAGGAGACATTTTCCTGCCACTTCTTAGCCTTCTTAGTTTTTGCTTTAATGTTGGGGGTGGGGGCATCCGTCCTTTTTGCCATTAGAGATGAAGAAAGGTGTGTTTTATGTGCTGCAGAGAACCGAGCGCTTCCGGAGAGAGAAGACACAAATCATGAGGACACACTGCTGACTCTGCTTCTTAATAAGAAATTTGCATGGCGGAGACCAGAAAATATTGGTAAGCGAAGGAGATGGGAGATCTCAGCTTCTTGAATCTGTCTGCATAAATGCAAGGAACCTGCTCCTCAGGTTCTTCAGAAATACCAATTGCTCAGAAAGGGGAAGCACCCAGTATAGTGCCTGCACATGATTAATGTCAGATGTTCTCCATCATGGGGCCCCTGGACCTGCTTTTGCAATGCAATGTAAAGCTGCCCAAAGCCATGCACTATAGATCCTCACTCCACACTGAGCTGCCAAGGGAGCATGTGTGTGTACATCACTAATAACAAGAAGAGATGCTGATGAGTCCCTCTGTCCCTGAGATGTTTTGTACTATGCCTGGGACGTGGGCCAGCCTTGGGAGTCACCTCTCCACCCACACCCCGTACTGCCCCATGTGCTTTTGAGATACAGCTCAGTGTCTTGCTGGCATGCCAAAACCAGCAGCAGCTTGTGTGCACACCGGGCAGTTGGGGCCATGTCAAGATTTTGCAGAGAGCACATGGCTGAGATCCTTTGGGATGAGGTGTAGGTTGGGATGAGGGTGGCAGGAGCTCCTGTCTGAGCCTAAGCCCCTGCTATGGCTGCAAGAGGTTGAGACAAGAGGCTTTTCCCACACAGCAGAGAGGCCAAAGACAGGGCACGACTTTGCTCTGTGAACAGACACCAAATTTAAAGCCACCCACACGTTGTGACAGCCTCTCAACTCAGACATGCTGAAGAGAAACTGGCTTTCCATGCCACCATGCACAGCCAGCACAAGTGTTGCATGGATTACAGGCCTCAGCTATTCCCACAGCCACCACAGCCAAGGGAGGGTTTGGGCCATATGCGGTGGTCTCAGAGCAGGAAGCTGCCCTTCCCTGTGAAAGCAGCCAAGGATGGGGCCCAAAAATGTTGTTATGAAAATCCATTTGTCAAAATCACTCAGTGCTCTTCCCCAGCCCCTTGTTAATGCAGTGAGGCAGTGGTTAAACAATCCTGGGGCAAATAAATAAACACAAATAAATCAAGTCCTTATACTAACAAAAGCATTCTTCTTGCAAAGGAGATGCTTTCAAGAAATAACATTTTTATGATTAGTTTATGGATTATTGCACTTATTCCTCCTAGAGGAAAGGCTGCATTTTATGCCAGACAATTGAATATAATGAATCTCTGAGCAGAGCACAGACAGAAGATTTACAGCAGGCAGATTCTCAAGGCTTCGTCCATAAATTAACTTCCTCCCCCCTGCCTGAGATAATCTGTTCCAAATTTCGACCGCTGTTCATTTTCTATTCAGAGCAGTCATTAGCCAAGCTTACGGTCTGTGGAAAATTGAGCCAAAATAGGCACTTGAAACTCTGAAAGAGGTGAAAATGTGAATAAATATAATAATAATAATAATAATCTCTTAAGTGTCACTTTTCACTTGCAGATATGCAGGCCTGGCTGCCCCTACCTTACAAATATGTAAAAACTTGCTTAAGAGGAATCTGCCTGAGGTCATTGCTGGCAGTGCCAGGAACAGAGCTCCCACCTTCTGACTTCCATCCTCATCCCCATCCCCATCCCAGATAGTCTCTCAAACCGAACCCTGGTGTAATGGATTTGCTTAGGAACTGCTGCTTTTTCTGTTGGGTGAATCTGTCAGAAAATACTCAGGATTTTTCAGCTGAATTGTTTCTTTCTTGATGGAGAAACTGAGAAGGCAGGCAGCTCACTCTTGGCACTCTCCTGCTCAGTTTCAAACATTAAAAAAAAAAGCCCAAGTCTAGCAATGTGTGTGCTGAAGTCTTATCTGAAATCAGGGAGAATTATGTCTTTAATCCCCTTAGAGATGCAGACCAATGCCTGCTGCCGCTTTAGAAGCAGACAAAGGAGGCAGCTCCAGGGCTGGCTTTTGGCTTTCTTGTGAGGCCCAGCAGAGACATTCTTTAGTTCTTTCCTGGCTCTTCTGCTTATTTCAGTGCATTTTTTCCCAAATTGGCACTTAAAACCACCTGATCACTTTGCATTTCCCTCCCAGGAGAACTGCTATAGTCTAGGTACTCAGCTTTGACTGAACTCCTTTTTTTTAATGGTGCTTTTCATTGTTTCAGCTGTCTTATTAAAAAAAAAATAACTGGTTTTGACATCAGTTTGAGTCTGGAATAAGGTATCTCAGTCGTCAAGAGGAGTGAGATTGAAATCCCCCATCGCTTCCTGCAGCTTTCTCTACTGCTATTCCAAACCCTTCCCAATTCAGCTGGAGGTTTTAGGTCCCATTCATAAGCACCTAACTTTCCCCTTCTCCTGGATGGGATATCTCAGGGCAGCTCATTCATCCATCTGCATCATCTTTTCACAGTCTAGTAGAGTACTGATTAGCTCTGACATCTCTAAGTCTGATCTATGGAGCTGATCCCCAGGTACCTGCAGTCCCTGAACATTCAGAAGTGTGAAACCTGTGCACCCACTGCTGTGTTACCTCTCCTGTCACTCCACTCTGCCAGCCCTGGTGTTTGGTGACTTACAAAGCAATAAGCTGTGCTGGGCTAAAGCTGTGTCTTCTGACTTCTGCTTGCATGGGTGATGTGAGGATAAATCAGTCTTAGGGGAAGCAATGGGTGTTCATACAGAAAAGCCAGGATTTGCATTTCTGCTACCATAGATTTATAGATCACTATCAGGAATTAAATAAGTAGGTCATTTTTTCGGTCAATGAATGAAGAAATTAAATGCAGAAACTGTTCTGGTTTTGAGCTTGGGAGGTAATGCAGATATTGATGTTACTCTCCCTTCTTGCAGACTGGGAGCTGGCAAGGAAATTTGAAGAGCTTGAACAGGTGAGGGGAGCAAATGCACAGACACATGTATGTATACTGCTGCATGAATAGCTAAACAATTGTGCAAACTCTCTTTATGTTTATGCCCTATTCTTCCATCTTTGCATCCTGCTACTCCTCATTCTGGTGCTATAATGTAAGCATATATCACACAAAGGGCAAAGCAGAACCTGGGCTAAATAGCTGCACAAGCTGGAAAAGCTAAAAAGAGGGCAAGGCTACAGACTAGTGCAATAAAGGCTGAGGCAGCTTTTGCCTCTGCCACCAGTGAAAGGCTAGCGAAGACTAAGCCAGGAAAAAAATAATGATGCCAAAAGAAAATATCCATGGAAGAAAAGGGAGGGAGAAGGGGAGGTCTTGCTGCCTTCCTAGGCATTGCGTCAGCTGGCTGCATCTGATCATGGGTTGAAGTCTGAGGGACAGCCACTGCTCGCCTAATCCAGACCAATTTTTGTCTGGGCTCTTGGCTAATAAAGGAGGCCCTACCCAGGGTCAGAGCCCTGCTGGGCCATGCAGGGTGCATACACACACACAGAGAGACGGAATGAGCAAGCCCCATCCTGCACCAAGTTTCCAGGAACAGGGAAAGGTGTGCAGCAACCTTGACATGGCTCCCACTGTGCCCCAGACCCCACAAGCAGTGGAAGCCCTTTTTACCCTTTCTTAGGCCAGGTCCAGCTGTTGGTATGGATCCTGGAGGTCCTGCTGGGTTCCACATGGCACTTTTCACTTCAGACTGAAAAGCCACAGTGCAGCATGCCACACAGGAGGCTGCCAGCTCCTACTCCAGCCCTTCGCTCCATTGCTGAGGGACAGTAGCCTCTGGCTTCCTCCTGAGAGCAACACTGCCAGAGTAGAACTGCAGGTCATGGCCATAAATGTTCCTGTAGCTACAGATGGAGAAGAAATATTGCAGACTTTCCACATTATAACCAAGGAAAGTTAGCAAGAGCTGGAGGGAAGGGAGAGGAGGAACATCCCAGAGCAATAGAGAAGCAATGCAGTCTGGTACAACGGGTAGATGCCTGAAGACCTGCCCCAGCACTGACTTGACTCTTCGTGGTGCAATATCCTTCTACACAGCCTCCTGTACACAGGAGTTTGTACCCTGAGCTGGAGGGGTGAGAGCAGAGAACGCCTGCACTGCTGCCACCAAACAAGCAGCTTAATGGAGGGGGACATGAGGAGGTGTGAGTGCTCCAAAGGCAGATATTCCTGGAATGGTCCTGCTCCAGGGAAGATCCTGTCCTCCGCAGTGGTGCTGTCAGCCAGGCTGCCTGTACCTCCCACCCCTGAGCTGCCCTCAGCTTGCCAGCACACTTTGGAGCTCCTCGCAATGGGGCATTTGTTTACTGCTGTGTTTGTTTTTAAACAGCTGGAGAAGTTGAAGGATCAGATCTCAACTGAGGAAGGGTCAGAGGTGGCCTATGCCTTGGAAAGTCTCTCAGGACCCCAGCCCAAAAAACGAGGTACGTTTTGGGATAGAGCCTCGCAGACATTTTGTCCAGCTCTCATCTCCAAGGTTTCCTTTCTGCAACAAAGACAGTGAGAGTAAACATGCCCCCTGTATGCTGAAAAACAGGTTGGCAGCTTTTCTAGCAGCCCTGGCCCTCTCTTGTTAATGGCTGGCTGGTTTAGCAGCTGGTGAGGAGGAATGTGTACCCAACTCTGGCTGCTGCTAGGGCAGATACACAGGGTCGGTGCACCCAGGACCTCACTGGAGGCAGTCAGTGTTGCACCCCTCTTTTCACAGAGGAACATGGCGTTACATGAGCAATGAGTGCCTGTCCTGCAGGGGTGAGGTCTGTATGAACATGTCCCTGCAGTGCACCCATCGCTTTGCTCTGGGCACAAAGCTAGTGCTGAAGGCATAATGCGGCATGTGGACTGCACGCCTTCCCCACTGCCAAGGTCACTGCCTCCCTACAGAGAAAAAAGGAGCACTTGTTTGCGCTGCTGAAAAGCAGCTAAAAAGGATGTGGAAATCAACCAAGAATGCAGGGAACTAAGATCTGGTAGGTCCCCCAGTGGGTCTCCAAGCTTTGTCCAGTGAATCAGGAGCATACTGCACCATTGCTCCTGCAAGGCTGCCCCTGACAAGCACATGCACAATGCCATTCACGCTCTCATTAGATTCCTCCACAAAGCAATGGCAGGTGTAAATCAGAAGTCACTGATGACAGATCTGGCCTAAAACCAAAAGAGCCAGTTCTGCCCTTACCCCACATGCTCTGTGCATGTGCAGGCTGACAACCTGCCAGACAGCCGAGAGAAAATCCCTTTGTGCAAGGCTTGCTTAAGTGCTTAGGTGATCCTCAGACAATCTGCAATTTATAAACAACCCTGGAGGCTGTCATTTATTTGGCTAATCTAATTCATGCCCCTACCAGCCTGGAAGGTTCAGATGTAGACAAAACTATGTCCCCCTGCCACGTTTAAATCAGATTCTGCCAGAAATTAAAGCAGAGAATCGCCGAAGTCCTTTCAGTCTGGGAGGAGCTCATGTCTCAGCATGAGCACCACTGATTCAGGAGAAGCTTTCTTCCAAGATCCTGCTTTTAAAAACCAGGTAGAAATCTCTTCTTATACTTGACAATAGTAGACCCACACAGGATTCAAAAAACAGGGCATGCTGGTAATACAGCTATTTTTTCCAACACCGAAATGTGCATCCTTCCCTAATCCAGTCTTCTTAGGAGATCCCACAGACATCAGTGTTGTTTGGAGGACAGTTAGCAGCAGTGACTGGCTTTTAAATAAAATTGTAAGGACCAGATCTGGTCTCTCCAAGTCAGTACCCTACTCTTCGAGTCAGCCATAGGTTAAAAACACTGCGCACATCTCTGAGGCAGCAAAACTGCTGGCCAGTAGACAGGAAAGAAAAAGCTGATTCCTGATATTGCTGAAGTAGAGCAACAGGAAAAGGAAACCTTTATAAATCAAGCAACACTGAAACAACTTTTAGACCCTTTATTTACACTATAAGCAGCTAAAAGAAACACCTTCTAAAAGTATTGTATTAATTCAAAGCTGGTTAGTGAGATCTGCCCAGAAACCACAACTTCAGCTTCACACCCCAACTTTCTCAAGACATGGGGCTTTTGAAACCCACTCCAGGGCTAGAGCGGGAAGCTGGAAAAGCCCATTGGATGCTAACATCCTTCTCTTGTATTCCTTCCCAGCCTGCTTTTGGAAATACTGCATCTGAAGGCTTGCCAGGACTGGAGGATGAAGATGAGCCCTTCCCCAAACTACCTTGCTGGGTATTAATGTGTTAAGAGTTTGTTCTGTTCTCTCATCGTGCTGCTAACTTGGAAGCCATCCTCCATGACCATACCACAGCCAAGTCTAACAGGGACCACGACAGGAGCTGGTAGCCTGCTACCACTTCCCACTGTTTCTTCCTTCCAGGTTTAATCTACCATGATCTTCTACTTGGAAGATGCCTCCCTACTTTCCTTGCTGTCCTGTGTGTGCCATTCAGTCTGCTGCCACTGTACGCTCTTAACCTTCACACCAGGTCCCCTGAGGCACCAAACACCAACTCAGCTCCCCTGAGCTTGGGCCTATGCCTACATCTGCAGGTGTTGCTCATGGTGGTGTCTGGGTTTCCCATTGCCTTCTACGAGCAGGTCTATGATGACCTAGCCCCCGCTGTTGGGACAGACAGGGTGTAATGTGAAGGGCTCAGAGCTGCCTGCCTCAGCTTGCTGAGCCAGAGCTGTTCCTCGTCGTGTCCCGTCAGCTTATACAGTAATTTTGGGGGAGGACGGGCATGGAAGTCTGGATCCTTTGGATATTGTTCCAATAAAGATTTTCTGTTGCACAGAAGCACGTGCTATTTTCTTCCTTACCCTCTGCAGAGGCCCAAGGAGCAGCACATTTCCCTTGCTATAGGCTCTTGTTACCTTAAATGTTCATGTGAAGTTGACAAAGGCTAAAAGGCTCCCATTAAACACCTAGGTATAGGAACACTGGCCTGTTTCAATGCGTCCGAGGAAGAGACTCTTTCAGACCAGAACTGGGAATTAGAGTTGGGTCTTCCTCATGGATATGTGTGGGCTGCTGTCCTCATAGGCCTGATTCACACCCACTGATTTCTACCTACTCACCCCAAGGAGATGTTTTGAGCAGAGATTTTTGGCTCATCTGGCAGGTCAGTGGAGATGCTAGCTGGCTTTTTCTACTACAGAATTACATCTGCTCTTGTCCTAAAGGAAGATATCACAATCAGTTGTTCCTACGTATGTTAATCTTAAGTCACGTTATCCATGTTTATTTGCAAAAGCAAAGGACCACATTTCCAAATATGTAAATTCAGAATAAATCCTCTTGTTAACTATGAGGTTTCCAACAGTGTAAACGAAAGCAGAATCTGGTAGCCACTGTGAACGTGTGGACTGATTCTGCCTAGAACTAAACTGTCTCTACAGCCCTGTCAAGCCATCCTATTTAACTGTAGCTTGCATGCTACATATTCGTCAAAACTTTACCTCTCCCACAGCTGTAATTACCATGCTACATTCATTGCCTTGGGCTCTGGCAAGAAGCACACGCCACAGCAGTGCCTTGTGTGTACTTCATTAACAGATCTATTCATCCTGTTACAGGCCAAAGCTGACATCTGTGGAACAAAACCAGCTTGATTATATCAGTGAGGTCTAATGAAGTGCAAAATACAGTTTGCCGTTAACATTAATTCTTTGTTATTTCCTTGGTACTGATTCAGAACACATTTCCTATTTTCTGTTGGTTTTGTGCAAGTGAAAAAGTATATGGGAGCGTATTTTCACATACCCTGACAAGAGCACCAAATAAAAGGAAAATTATAGCCTATTGCCAAGAGAATGGTCTCTTTCTTGAAGAGTTTGGTGCTCCAGCTGACAGGGAGGTGAATTACAAGAGCTGCACTGAGTGCCTCAAGCTGGTGCTCAGCTCAGATGCTTTCAGCTTGAAGGAAATCCCAGTGAAGGAAAGGCCAGAGCTGTAGCCATGCCTGCCCAAACCGGTGTGACAGCTCATCAGCAGGTCAGGGAAAGGAATACAGTGACTGCGGCTATTTAACAGCTTGCCCTGACCTTAGATACAGGAATTCCCCCGAGTGCAATGCACCATGCTGCTTAGCAGTGATTTTTAGCCCACATGGTGTGCTGCATCCTATCAGCACAGTGATTTAAATGCTCATGGTACCCAAACTACCTTCACTGTTTCCTCATAGGCAATATATGCTGCTGTGTTAGCTGCTTCTGCTGGAGTGATAAGTAAGAGTTGAATGCAATTCATTTGTCAGTTCGGAGCAAAGGTGGTGATGATCTCCTTAGGCTCATCCTCAACATGTCATTGTGGGGATCCTGACTTTTCTCCTAAACATGCAGAACTCTTCCTCAGGTGCCACTTCCACATTGTGGCTGCTCACACCTTACACATGCTTGGTCAGCCACCCTTGCTAAAGTTAATGACCCACAGGCAATAATTAAACAGATTTCCCTTAGATATTCTAGTAGACCGTGTTGATTTATTAGCAGAAAATCCTCACAGGCATCTGAATGGATTTGCAAACAGGCAGCACAAGGCAAATCTAGCGTGCAACAGACACTGTAGTTTATCTTCATTTCACATTTGTTGACCTCCATGCTGTGCATGATGACTGAAGCTATCCAAAATTGTCTTTGAAAACAAATTGTGGTGTTCAGCTTTTCAGGCATTATCATATTTTAGACAGCACCTGCCAATTTATGGATTTTAAAGAGTGTTTGTTGAGACACAGGAGGTCTCAGTGTGCTCTGCGGTGGATGGGGCAGAGTAACAGAAAGGCTGCTGCATTCTCTCAACTAATCCATGCAGTGAGGTGGGAGCCAAGAGCAGGACTGAAGCTTCCAGGTCCCAGGTCCAAGTGACACCACCACTAACACCTCTGCTTTCACATCACCCTTCAGACGGAGAGCATTTCTGCACACAACTACAGACTTAAAAGACTCTCTTTTTTTGGAAGCCCAGTCTAATATCTGCCAACTGTTATAATACTTTTATGATCCAGCAGTGTCTTTGCAAAGCTGCTGTGTTAGCACCAGATTCCTCTGGTCTGAGTCTCCCAGAACATGTCACACAATGTCATTCCATGCTGCTTTTGACAGACAGCTCTATGAATGGTCAGGTCGTCACTTCCACAATCTGCCCATGCCCCATACATATGACTGCCTTGCAAGCAGATTATCTGCAGACTGGATGAGCTCAGTGCAATAAGATAACTATTTGCTAAACCGCAGGGCAGGATCAGGATAGGTGGTGGCAGCGCACTGCAGAGGATAGGGTCTGGGCTTGTCTGGGCGTGCATTTGCAAATCTGCTTCTAGCATGGACAGAAAACTTTGTCTCGAGTCAGACAGTCTACACACACCCACTCAATCCAGCTCTCAGAGCCTTCACCTACAAGATTAAAGGCAGAAAATGAGTAGTGGGAGCAAGGGAAAAGCAGGAAGCAAAAAACCCCAAGATTACAACATATGGGCTTGCAGCCTTTCTTTCTTTCTCTGACTTTCAAGATCTTGGTCTGGTAAGCATCTGGGGTGCTTCAACTCACACAAAATCACTGACAACACAGCCACCAAAGGAGGAACAATCACCTAACTCAGCGAGGGAGTGCTCTGCTTGATGGGAAAATGGGAGCACGTCTTGATGTGATTCACTGGTTTGGGCAGCTGCTCTCAGCAGCATCAGCCTATACTGAACATGTCAAGAAAAGGAAAGTTTCTTGCAAACTTTCAGTGGCTGGGCCAGTCCTGGTCTCAGGGCAGGGCTGTCAGTGAGAAGGAAGATGAGGAAGGCCCCTGCTATGGCTGAGCGCTGTCCTTCTCACAACAACTGGATGATACCTGCCCTTTTGAGTGGCAGCCTCATCTGCCATGATGGCCTGAACTGGGGCAATTACCCCAATATCCCAAACCTCAGAATAGCTTTAACTGCAAAGACTCACTGACTTCCCAAATCCTTTCCTGTTGCTGACTATTTCTCCCCATTTTGCTGATGGCAAAGTGCTTCGTGCCTCACATAAAATCAGGAAATGAACACTTAATTCCTATCTCTAGCCTTACTCTCTGTCTAACACAGGGTGTCAGGCAAGGATATTTTTTTCCTAGTCCTGCATAATCCCTTTCTCAATGGATCTTCTTTGGCAATTGTAAAGATGATTTATACTCAAGAATAGCAATCCAAGGAATTCCGCTGACATGGACCAAAGTCCAAGCAGGAGTATGTGAGGTTTAGAAAACATCAGCTATGAATCTGAACATTGAGATGTCAGCAAGCAGCTCTTATCAGCTATATTTTATAATCTGCAAAGAAGAGAAAAGCATGAAACAGGATTTAAGATAACCTGTTTTACTCTGAAATGAAGTGGAAAGGACATGTTTACATTTTACCAGAGTGAGAAATTCTTGAACTTACAGAGTTGGATGTCTGATCATGCCCCATGCACTCATCAAGAGGCTAAAATAAGGCATATGATGCAGATAGCCTAGGAAGTAGATGACTTCATATTTGGATGTTATCCCATGTTACGCACAGGGAGGAGTGAAATGAATTCACCAGCTTAAAGGAGGAAATTAGAAGTCTCACCACATTTCAGGATCTGCCATACGATGAAAACATGTCTAAATATGGTGCAGAGATAAGAGAAAGACTACTAAAAACATCAGGACAAATACTAAGGTATTGTCATAGTTCTTTTTCAGACTAACTCCTAGTGATGTCAATAGACATCTTCTCCCAAACAGCAGTTCAAATAAATTCTAGGTTTGTCCCATAACTGTTAAATCCTCCTGTCATCTACCAAAAAAACACTTCTTAAAAGAAATGTGCAAAGCAAACTGTCTGCTTTTCATGGACTGCTGTTGGCATCTCTGGAAGTTTTATTTTCAATCCAAAAAAATCTAACAGTCCTTGCTAGGATAAAGAACTTCTGCAAGTTTAAGAAATAAATGCCATGCAATTAAACTATATACATATTTTCTGTTCCCTCCTATCAGTGGCAATGTGCAGAACTGTGAGAGCATTCTGATCCCATGAACTGAATTTGTTATTATTGTAAATGCAACACTTGTAAAATGCAATGTGAAACAGATTTTGCAGGAGGTCAATTCCTTGAGTGGTGAATCAATCAATGACAAGACATGCTGTGATGCATCTTCTGTATTTCTGTAATGTTTGCAATACAGCATCAGCCTTTCAGAACAGAAGCACCTGTAGGCAGAAAAGCAGTAAACATTAAATTTTCCCATATCAGAAATGCTAGGCTTGGCCAAACACACTGTAAGGTGATCTACAAGAGATTGAAAATGTCAGAAATAGTTGTTTTCTTGTAGGGGGGTGCTAAGTTTTAATTTAGGACATTCCAGCTACATTGACAGTCACAATCCATTGTATAAGACGACATCATTCCCCAAGCCACCTTTTCCAAGCCTACTGGGGTGAGTTGAGTACCTCCATGTAACTGAGAACCTGGCAGTTCTCTGAGCCTGCCCACACCCAGAGTACTTTGGCTTACTTGCAGGA